TAAGTTGTAGAAGAGGTGCTGATCTGTGTTAGTACAGGGAGTTTCCTTATCTCTAAACCAGTAAAATCACAGATCCAGCCCCTACCTCTATTATCACATTTATCCTCACAACAGCCCTATGAGGCTGGATAATCAACCAACCAATTTATTATGCATTTATTAAGCACCTACTATAAGCAGGCTCTGGGGATACAAATACTCAATGAAACAATCCCAGCTGGCAAGGAGCCCCCATTTTAGTGGGTAAGACAAGGACAGATATGATCTTCAAGTGGCCAGTGGAGTGTCACGCTTCTCCAAACATACACAGGCTGGTACTTTCACAATGAGCAGAGAAGCCACTCTCAAAGCCAGCCCAGTTTAGTCGAACCTATTCGCATTTTCCACTAGAATGGCTTTCAAGAAACCAAAGGTCAGGGGCAGCTAGGTTGTGCAGTAGATAGAGCACCAGCCCTGGATTCAGGAGGACCTGAGTTCAAATCGGCCTCAGACACACAACACTTACTAGCTGTGTGACCCTGGGCAAGTCACTTAACCCCATTGCCTAACCCCCCCAAAAAAAAGTTGGAAAAAAAAAAGAAACCAAGGGTCACCTCTAAGCCAAACTTAAACATTGGAGGACTTCAACATTTTCATATTAACACTGAGAGGGAAAACTACTGGAAGCAGACCTTATAATCATGACAAACAACATAGAGACCAAAACATTTCTAGGATCAAATGAACATTGTTGTGGGTAGGCACTTCCTTCCACACACTGAAAGTGGTTGAATCAGTGAGGAATGAAAAACGTCAGATTTAGTCCCTCTATCCAGAGCCACCCTCATTGGTTTTAGTTCAGGAAGTGTATTTCTTCTCTGCTTCTTTTTCATTTCTTTTTGGTATTTCTTCTTTCCTTTCCCAGAGCTGTTGTTACCCAAGAAAGACATTCACTTGAATTTCCTTCCGCTGGACAGAGTTAGATCAACATGGTTCATTGGGTCTAGATGACCCTTTAAGCAAGTGCCTTCCTGGGTTTTCAGCAATGCATTTTGGAGGGAAGGAGGAAAGAAGGAAAACAAGAAAACAACTGGGTCAGTGATCCTGCCTCTCTATGTTCTAAGCAACTTGTAGAGCCCCTGGGAGAAGCAGATGGCTCTGGAATATAATACTCAGTTAGACATACAGTGTACTTGTAGCCATCAATTCCATTTACAAAGTCATACAGGGATCTGGCAAACATTTGTAGTTCCACTTACCACACCTGTAGACATAAGCCAATCAGATACAAGCTGAGCCAGAGGGTGGGAGGTAGAGTGGCAAACTAATTTCATTTAATGAATTTGACTGTGTCCTATTTTTTTAAGTGGGAAAAGAAAAGTGGAGTCTAATTATTTGACCTTCTACATTAAACTTTGGAGGCTGAAGTTTTGAGAATCCTTGCTGGTTTTCTCAGGATGGGTATACACAGATCTTAGAGGAAGAAGAATGCAGTCTTCTCCTAACTGGCCCAGAGCCCAGCCTCAGCCAGAGTTCCTAGAACGGAGACTTCTAGCTGGGCATTCAGCCAAGGAAGCCTACCCTCTTATTCAGATCATCTTATACCTCAGGAGGACCAGAACTGAAAACTGACCAATGCAGCCAGGAATAAGTGAGGGCTAGCAACTTGTTCCACAGTCAGACATCATTCTCCTCCCAAAGTATTTCATGATGGAACAACCCTTTGTCCAACTTTCTGGGGGATGCATGTTATTATACATACACACACACACACACACACACACACACACACACACACACACACACACACACACACATACACACGCATGCATCTAGATAGGCATGGAGTAGCTAAGGTAGTGGGAAAATATGTATCACTTAAAAGTTCCCAAAGCACTGCATACATATTATCTCACTTCATCTTCACAACAATCCTGTAAGGTGTATATCACTATCTTCACTTCACAGTTAAGGAAACTGAGGTTGAGAGAGATTAAGTAACCTGCCCATGTTCACACAGCAAGTATCAGAGTCTCCCTCCTGACTACAGAGCTGCATTCTCGTCCCGACACCACCTTAATATCCTAGAAAGGATTGCCTTCCTCTTAGATCCCTGCTGCCTGACACTGGTTTGTTGTGCTCGTACAAAGCCCAATAACTTGCAGTGGAGGAAGGGGGGTAGAGGTCACAGGAATGGTCTCCAAACCAGGATGGATGGATTAGGGAAGGAGGGAAGGGGAAAAGAAAGGGAAGAAGGGGGGTTAGGGTCTGTAGATTGGCAGTCTTTTATCATTCCCGTGGGCTATCATTCCCATATGTGTGGCTCACAGGTAAGAGTGTACAGGTGGTTTTTTTTTTAATGTCAATTTAAAAGTGTATTTTCCTAAAGGCCCAAAAGTTCGGGGTGATGATGAGGGGGCTGTTTGAGGGTTCAAGCAATCAGGCATTATGTGAAGGACAGGTGGACATCAATCCATTTTGGCCTCATGGGCTTTAGCAGCCATCGTGTAATTTTCTTTGC